AAAGATATTAAGGGTAAGTCTATATTTCTGAGGAGAGCTGTGAAATCCAGAGGAGGCCAGAAGTGAAGTAAAGCTGCACTGAACTGTTACACAAAGAGCTGTTTACTGATGTAGTGGGCACGATATTAGAAACCCCTGCTAACACCTTCACAGAGGGAGGCTGAGCAAGACGCCTCACAGCCGACAGGGGGACATTAATCAGCACCTGGTGTAACTACAGTCACTAATCATCAAAGAACACGATCAAGTCATATTGTAGCAAACCTAATGAAGGAACCTCAGCAGAACCACAGTGCAACACACAGGAGGGAGACACTTCTTCTGGACCAGCCATGAGTCTGTCATGACAGAGTTCACTGATATTTATGTACAAAGTGAAACAGCTCCAGAAAAGAGACAGCAGATCGAACTTAAACACACAAGTAAGGCTGTTTGTTTCCTGTACGATAGTACAGACAATAAACATTCCACAGAAAGAGCCACAGGCACAAAATCACAAGATTAAATTAATCCAATGAGACATAATTGGCTCTGCCTGACACCATGCTGTATATTCACACTGCAGCACAAGCTGGCAAAGCAAAGCGACACACACTAATGAACACACACATGCTCACAGCTACGTAGCTGTAGCCAAACGACAGTAAACGCACACAAACAACCTCACAGCTTTGCTTTGTGTTTTGAGACATAAAGGGGCCAAAGTCTAATCTGTAACAGCGATCTAATTAACTCTGCTTTCCACAGCTGTCCAGTGTTTCTGCAGAAAGCTGATGAGTTCAGCTGTGGCCCGAGGCGAAGAGGAACTGCAGTCGAGGAAGCCGAGAGAGCGAGAGCAGTTGGGGAGAAGAGCGGGGACGAAGAGGGAGGAAGAGAAAGGAAGAGGAGCAAAGCTGAGGTCTGTGCTTTGTGCTTGATGGAATCCTGGCAAACTCACGAGCTCTGACAGCGTCACATCAGATGGTGTGGTCCCTAAACTAAATAATACCAAACCAGTTGATCTTCACTCTGGGGACTGTGCACTAAAACAGGGTGGAGGGAGCCGTGCTCCAGCCAGGACCGGGTGCACATCCATATCACCATTTATTACATGAATATGCATGAGCACACGCTCTATTTTTCATCCTCACCAACCACGTACTTCTCTGTCCTTGAGCTTCATGGCCAGCACCAGCTGGTTCCTGTGATTGGCCAGTGCTTCTCTGTAGCTGCCTTTGGAGAAGAGCGCAGAGCCGAGGTTCCCGTGTGCACGGCATTCCCCTGACTGGTCACCTGTGAGCCAAGCAAAGGGTATGATGGAGACAGATTCATTTCTCCACTGTACACACCTTCTCCTGTTGCTTTCTGCTCTTCCATACCTAAAGTCTTTGTCACCTCCAAGTCCTGCTGCATGTAGGCCATGCTCTTCTCAGCGTTCCCTAAGGACCAGTAGGCCGAGCTCAGGGCCGAGAAGACGGAGCCGCGCAGCTTCAGTGAGCACGTACCGATCTTCAGCCCGGCCTCCAGCACCACGACAGAGGCTCCATGGAAACCGTGGGTCAGGAGCTCCTGGCCGATGACGGACACGACCACGAACGGGCTCTTGTCCAGCTTCATCTTCTGTAGCTGCTGATAGGTGGGCTCAAGGGAGTCTGTGAAGGTGAAAGCACACACACAACGACAGAGGTGAGGCACAAACTAGCAAACAATACAGATCCACACTACACCACACTGGGGTTGGAGGGGTGGTGCACGTCCACCTCATTCCCAAAACCCACTTTTTGTCCTTCACACTTTTACTGCTTCACACCGACCTTCTTACTGAAGTGCCTCTGTCCAGTTGACCCAGTCGACCCAGTTACCCCGGTCCACATGGGAGAAGATCTGAGTTAGTAAAAATGTGCCCTTCTTATTGCCTGTCAGGCAACAGACATGCTGCCCCTTTCATTCTTGTAGGCATGGATGTATTAAGGAGAACTGGAATTACAAAATGTGTGAGCAGCATTCGTTAGGCTTCTGTTTCTTTGGGCTGACTCCAGTGGAGCGCACTGTGCACATCAGCGCTATGACCGGACAAGCAGGCGTCCGCCAGCGCTATCCACTGTAAGATAGCAGCCGTGTTCCCAGCTTGTTGACATATTTCAAAAGAAAGTGGCAGAAATGGCAAAAGAAATAGTGATTTGAAGAAACTCCCAATAACTCTACTTAACTTGTCAGAACAAATTGTGTGTAGGAGCTGCTGGCCAGTCCTGCAGGCTGCACTACCTGAGGAGGAGAGTGGAGGCGGTGCACTGACAGTCAAACTGCAGTTGTCTTTATTTTACAAAGAACTGCACCAGGTAGATTGGAAGAAACTTGTGTGTTAGGGCTCAAAGTTTCACCAACACATTTCCAAATAAATCAGAGTAATAAAATGCACCCAGTGTTGGTGCATTTTAAAACAGTATTGATGTGTAACTACTCAGTTTGTTGACTGTTCTGTACTTGTGTTACTGTGACTCTGCTGTTATTTCATGGCTGTTAAAGGCTCTCCTCTGGACATTCCTGTTCACAGACACAACACACACACAGTAAAAGCCGCTGCATATGTTTTATCACTGCAGACACACAACTTCTCATGCTGTGAAAACGCCATCAGCCCTCCCTGGCCTATGACAGACAGACAGTGACATCTCCGGTCCTTCTCTGGCTGCACTGTACCTGTACGAGTGGATGAATGTGTCCGTGTCCGACACCAGACACCAGACCTTCAGCCTGACTACGCTGTCAAGAAGGAGGATCAGCTGCAGGGGACACAGGTGAGCTGGATGTGAGTGGATGCTGCTGATCTCCCTGACACTCCATCAGCAGATCAGTTTTCAGTTTTCTGCTTCATCTGACTTGCTTGTTTTATTTATTTTATACATCTCACTTTCTTGTTATCTCATGTCAAATGTGGAGCCTTTTGTTTGTGAAGTCTGAGTCATCAGAGGCATCTTTCCACATCCCAGTCCCAGAGGACGACTACTGAATAGAACAAAGTGACAGTTTCTCCAGTTCTGACATCTCACTCTCCACTCCTGCAACTTTTAGAAACAGAGTTGTACTTTGTTGCTTACTCTGTTCATGTGTTGGACTGTTTCTGTATGAATCTGTTTTACACCATGTGCACAGACAGCAGGAAGTTTGAGTCCTTTCTCAAAGGTCTCAGCTTGGGAGACATTATACAGCATGTACAGACATTCAATAGGCCATCTTAGCCGCAGCAACACGGCTGATGCAACCTGTTATAGCAATGAGGGCTTAAATCACCCCAAGTGCAAAGTACCCGGCCCAGCTCATTGCATGTGCTGTCAAACGAAACATGGAGAGAGAGGAAACCTGTGGCCGGCGGTGCAGAAAATGGAAAGGCTTTGCTGGCTGATGCCACAGAGCAGCTGCTGCTCATGGTGATGAGGAGAGAGCAAGGAGGGGATCCTCACATTCAGCTCTACACACAAATCTGGGGAGGAAAAGCTTGTGAAATGAAGTCCATCTTTTTATTAGCCCAACACAAACTATACAAAATGAGCAGATTGTGTTTTGTTAATTATTGATTAATGGATCGTGTCATTGCCGGTCCTGACGGAGAGACAGGATGAACAAGGCAGCGCGGCGTGTGAGCCCTGCTGGCAGACAGGCCTACCTCTGAGCGGAGACTTCATGGCAGCCTCCACCATGCCGACAAGCAGCTGGAGACTCTTGGGGTCTTGGGCGAGACCGGAGGCGAACGCTGCCAGGGCATCGGCGTGACGGCCCAGGTACTGCAGGGCAACCCCCTGACGAAAGTAGGCCTGTAGGGAGAAACAGAAGCAGACGTCAAACAGTTAAAGGAATTTGTCTTTTTGAGTCACGTCTGCATTTGTTCCCTGTGAAATGCTGCCACTGGCTTTATACCATCTGAAATAAAACTAAATGGACATGTACAGGTGCAAAGATCAGGCTCATGGAAAATAAGTAAGTACATTTTTGAAGTACTTTACATGAGTATTTTCATTTTATGCTACTTTATCCTACAGAGGAAAATACTGTAGTTTTACTGTACATTAATGAAGCTGTAGATAGTGTGCAGATAAAGAAGAAAAAGCTGAGCTCCTCCGGTTCCAGGGGTGATTCCTCTTAAACCAATCGCGCTCCATGTTCCTCCTACATCCATGTTTACGAGAAAACGTTCAGACAGAATGTGACTGACTTCAGGAGACATAGGAGAGACCGTTTGAGCGGCACAGAGGACGGAGGAGATGCTTCTTCTTCTCTCACCGCCGACCTGAATGTAACTTAATTGTCTTGTCTGCCTCGCTCGCTCCCTTCATTCCTCCCAGTGTCTCTCACATTTATCATCCCCCCCAGTGTAAGAATAATCTGTCATGACAGTGAATGAATGAAGACAAAGAGGAGAGGAATTCAGTTACATGGCAGCTCCTGCCCCTCGCTGCCCCCTCACTGTCATTGTCCTGTCCTGCTCTCCAGGCAGCTTCATTGAAATTAATGGAGCAGGGGTCACGTCTAATCTAATGCCTCTGGTTTTCGGTGTGTTGGTGCTGAATGTGAACAGGGCACGGTGTCATTTCACTGTTGATTAACACAAAGTGGAATAAATGGTTGGTAATTACAGCTGGATCAGTCAAATGTTCTAATGTTTCTAGAGCACGTTAACTTTACTGTCAAAGCAACGCTAACTAATTAGAAGACCTAATCAAATGGATGACAAATCAGATCAAAACAACTGCAGTAATGTTGTTGTTCCTCTCTCAGCTGCTCATTATCGTGTGGGGGGTCACAGTGGAGCACCTGATGCAGCTCTATGGGACACGTAGGAACCAGCAATTAACCTGGATGTCTTCAGACTGTGGGGGGAAACCAGTGAGACAAACCCCACGTAGGCACGGCCAGAACATGAAAACTCCACACAGAAGGTCGGCATTTCAACCAGGAACCTTGTTGCTGTGAAGCGACAGTGCCAACCACTGCACCACCGTGCCGCCCCAAAACAATTACAGAAATGTAAACAGAAAAAGAAATCGGGCGTAACATTCTTCCAGGGCTCTGACTGATATCTCAGAAACAAACAAGCACGGCCTCAAATAGGTATTTACATCGTTAGAGACACGAGAAGCTGTACGGTCTGTCGACATCGACCGACATGTGATGACGAGGGCTCCCTCGGCCTCAGGGCGGGTTGGGTGAGCTCTATTACAGCAGAATCAGATATACCAGTCAACAATGGCTGACATGCAGGACCTCAGCTCCGCCCTCGCTCTCGGCCCTGATGCCGGGTTTCCACGCTGAGAAGAGAAACGGCAGCGTGGCCTCTGACCTCGTCCAGGCTGGTAGCTGGGGTGACACACCCCCATCTGTCTGCCTTAATCACACTGGTATAGCAGCTGTAGGGAGGCAGCAGTGTTTCTCAGGTCTTCTCGATGACCACGCTTTATTTTTACCTTGATTGTTGAAGCTGGGAGGAGAAGTCGAGTCAGAAAAGGATGATGATTATAAAAGTTATAATCATAGCAAGGTGTCCATTATCTCTGCCTGACTGTGTGTGTGTGTGGACGTACAGCACAACAGGTAAGGATGAGTGTAGATGTGTGCAGGTGTGTGCATGCCCGAGCCAGACAGAAAGTGACAGTGGGAAGAGTCTGCCTCCACCACCACCCCAGCCTCCCGCTCTCTCACATCCTGCCCATTAGCTCGATCCGGCTACGCTGCCTGCTAAGCACATACAGGGGGTCCAGTCCAGACAGTCTCACAGACACACTCATAGAGAGACACACACACACACTCCACGCCTCGGCCTTTCATGTGTCTCGCAGCAGCTCAGGAAAACCTTGTCAGAGTAGGGGGTGTCTTCACAAGCTGCTGCGGTTGTGTCTGGCTTGTCTGGTCTGGAGGAGTTTCACACTGATTCCCAGACGAGCACTGAGACAGGCTCGTCAACGTCAGCTGACAGGTCTGTGTAACTGAAAGTGAAGGGATCAATAACAGGGACAAGACTAATCCTGGCTGTGCCTACATTTGTGTGTATTTACTCTTTGTACTCTCCCTTCTGTGTTTGTACATGCGCACCCTGGGAGCTCCTGGGCCTGCGCTCATGCAAATAACAACGCCAAGAAGATTAATGTCAGTGCTAAAGCAGGTACTTTCCCTTTCTCACCTTGGTGACCTACATGTGTGCAAAGTCTTCCTGATGGGGCCCAACACAACACAGAAAATAAATGAAGACGGGTGTAGTTTTCATTTCAAAAATACTCTGATTGCAAACCTACTAAATTATTTTGCTTTACTTTACTATCTTATTTTTGACTGATGTTCAAGTGTTGCATCTTTTTAGAGAAAGTGTAAATTTATAAATAACAGTTTGTAGACCTTTAGTTTTTGCCCTGAGTAGTGTCTGCAGGCTTCACACTTGCCTGACCACCTCCAGTAATCACAGCTATCATATAAACATCTGCCTCATCGAGGTTTGTGTTTCTCCTGAAACTGCATCAGAGTCTCATCTGAGCTGGAGATGAACATTCGGTCTGAAGGAAAGGATGGATAACTGACAGTGGAGTCTATGACTATTCCTACTGCTGCTCTAGTCACATTCAAGTAACAGTTTACGAAGCCTGGCTGTCCTGTGAAGTTCAGCATGTCTTATAGCATAATGCTTCACGTCCACATGCTAACGTGAGGACGCTAAGCAGGTGTAATGTTTGCTAATTGTTTGCTGACATTTGCTAATCAGCAGTTGCTAAGCAGGTGTAATGTTTGCTAATTAATGTTTGCTGACATTTGCTAATCAGCAGTAAACACGAAGCAGCTGAGGCTGATGGGGATGACATTGATTTAAGCCAAATTAAAATTCTGAAGATGAACGTATCTTTAGGGGAACATGGACATATGAAGCAAACTTTTGTGGCGACCCATCCAAATGCTGATGAAATAGTTCAGACTGCACCAGAGTGGTGGGAAACAGAACAAAGGAGATCTAGGGAGTGTCAGAGGAAAGGATGCACACCGAATGAACAGATGCTTCAATTAGCACTGGTAACTCACATTAATTGAGAACAGATGGCAACACAAGTGGTGGTGGTGATTTGGGTGGGGGGGCATGAGTGAGAGAGAGGATCACATCAACTAGACATGATAGAGACTGATGTCTTTGCAAATCAAAGAATCTGCCTCAAAGCACACAGACTTCACAACCATCTCATCTGGACATCAGGCTGTTTGTGGCTACGCTGTCTCGACACTGCTGAGAGGCTGTGGAAGAGGGAGATGTGGCCTTGAGTTATTTGTTAGAGGTGGCGGAGGCTGAGAGACAGAGAGAGGAGCCTCCTGACACACCTGTTAGCTCGGAGCAAAGCCTCATATTCTCACAACAAACAACAAAATATCCTGAGAATCCATTCGTAGTAAAACACTGAGCACTAGAGCACTGGGCACCAAGACTTCATTAGGGCAGTTTAGTGTTGTTACTGAAGGCTTGGGGCTCTTCTCTTCATAGTGTTGGAAACCTTGTTTGTGTTGTAAGAGGAGCGAACTCACAAATATGAGTGGTGGGATCTGGGATAACTACACCATCAGTAAACACACGAGCAACAAGATGAGCTTGTAAACGAAAGTCTAGTTATCATAGACAGTCTATGAGGATGGACGATGCATCACCACTTCCTGCCACTGCAAAAGAGAAGCTAAAATATGACAAATACGAGGGCGGCCTTCTTGCTTTTGTGAGCCATTTTGCAACCAGGTTGTGTGCAGTGGCGACCAGAGGTGGAGCCGCCAATCAAAGCTATCAATCACCTGAAATACACCTGTTTCTATATCATCAAAGAACGTATTAAAAACAATAATTCACCTTAGCCTCGGCCTTTTAGCATCCTATGATTCATGTTGCCATCCATCCATGTGTGATCTATAGGCTACGACTTATCCTGTGGAGGGTTTGGATCCTTAAGATCCACCCATGTGACATGGAAGACCTACTCTTTGAAAGATTTCTGTGAATCTCAGTGGTTAAGCTGTTCCCATTATGACTGTAAACTGCCTGCACTCTGCAGTTTAGGACAGTTTGAATGCAATAAATCCTCCTCCGTGGAAGTGATAGTGTTCGGTTTGTGCTCCAGCTGTGACAGAGAGGTGTTGATTTAACTGTGTGATCATTGTGGAGGCTGCGGTTTGTGATGCTGTTCAACTGCACTGTGTTATAGACACAGGTGTTTCTGACATTTAGTCTTATTGATAGAAATGGGATGCACATCATCCTTTAGGGTCGACTGTTACAGAAACAAGAGGAGGAGGAACTGTCTACTGAACACCAGGGATGAAGACGCGATGCTGCTGCTGATGCTCGGGCATCACTGGGCTCATTTTGCTACGTCAATACCCCGCTTATCCCACAGCGGGCGATGTGGTGATGTGCTGTGTGAGTTGTGCACTGTAACCTCAGAGAGCGAGATCATTATTTAGAGGCGCTGACGGAGTCGTTAAGAACAGTCTGTACTGTGAGGATGCCTCTCTGTAGGATTTAATGCACCTTATTGCCAGGACAAAGTATGATCGCACCCAGTGAATTTCAACCTGCAGACCTCGACAGCAGTTTACAGTTACTCACAGCCACCTCATCTCACTGGGAGATGTGATTCAAACAGGTTCCTCTAATAGAATAGTCGGCCTGTAAAGAAACAACGCTGCTGAGCAAACAGAAAACTGGAAACGCTGCGGTACCCAACACCGACAAGGAAGAAAGGACCTCAGAGCCTTTAGTAATGAACCTTGTCTGAACTAGTGAGTCTGAACTGCATGAATA